AACAATATTTGTAATGCAAACGCTGACAGTATTTGGAAACTATAGTACTTACACAAAGGGTTCTTGAACCAGGGCAGCTTTGTCATTAGCCATAGCAGGTAAATGCAGTTCAGGGAAAATACTAAAATTAGCCTTCCTTCATGGAGAAGATCAGCCATCTCAGCTTCCTTATTTTCTCAATGACACAAAGCCATACATAATTAAGAGACATATCCCAGTAACTCAACTAAATGCCAGGTCATCTCTCTACCTTCTCCCAGAAAAGCCTTGGAAACAAGAAACAGGAAGTCTTTCCAAGCATCCAGGACTGAGTATGAGGAATGCAGAGTACCATCCTTGTGACTCATGCTGCTATTGGCTAGGAAATAATTCCTTTTCTCCACAGGATCTAGTAAGGGCTGGTTTGGTTTTGCGCTGGAAACATTGTTAATAACGATAGAGATGGGTTTTTTGTTGCTGAGCAGCTCTTAGAGCCAAGACCTTTTCTGCTACTCACACCACCCCACCAGTGAGGGAGCTGGGGGTGCATGAGTACTTGCATGGGAGTGGACAGTTGGGACAGCTGATCCCAACTGACCCAAGGGACATCCACTACCATAGGACATCATGCTCAGTCTCTAAACTGGGGGAACAGTTGGAGTTGATGGTGTTTGTCCTCCCAAGTAACCACTACACAGGATGAGACCCTGCGTCCCTGGGGATGGCTGAACACCTGCCTGTCCTTGGCAAGTGGGGAATGAATTCCTTGGTCTGCTCTGCTTGCCTGTGCAGCTTCTGCTTTACCTACTGAACTGTCTTTATCTCCACCCATGAGTTTTCTCACTTTTACCCTTCTGATTACCCTGTTATCCCCCAGCAGGAGGACTGAGCCAGCAGCTGTGGGGTGCTCAGCTGCCAGGTGGGGTTAAACCACAGCACCTTGTACACTCAAGAGCCAAGAGCAGATCCGTATGAGTGAGTGTGGCCACCGTGCAAGAAAAGCAAAAGTACAGGAAATATTTGGCCAGAATTTCACAGTGACAAGCAAATCCAGTAACGAGCTGGCTGAGCCTCAGGAAGGAAGCACTGCTACAGCATACCAGGCAAGCTGAGGTCAAAGCACTCAGGTCAGGTACTGACCTGCACCAAAATCCAGCTTCCAAATTAAGAGAATGCCTGGCAAGTTATCAGCCAACAGGTATGTAACTGTATTAAAAATCTGTCTGGGAAAGGAGCTCTACCATGAGCAACTACAGAATCTTGGAGGGGACAGAGACTGCTCAGTTTTAAGTGTTTCCCCCCCACAGTCCCCAGCCATTAGTGGAGGTTCTTCAGAGATATGGCATTTTTTTTCTCTGCAGGTAGATCAACTGACTCTCAACACATTTTTGAGTTATTCTAGTACTCACAAGGTCTTAACAGAACCACCCTGCATGCCTCTGCAAAGGAGTGGAAATTACCCTCTCATTACACCTACAGCCAAGAGGATAATAATACATTCAAACAGGGCAAACAGGAAAAAGAAACATTCTTCCCCCAGTTTATCACCTCTCTACCTTTGTTATCAATTCATCCAAGGCAATGTGTCTTCAAGTGCTCAAATAGGGTGCAAAGGGGGGAAGGTAAAAAATAAAGGGGGTGGGCTCACAATGAACAGGAAGGTCACATACCTTCAAAATGTGGTTAAAGAAAGGCAGTACAATTTTATGGAAGCAGAAACAGAGACATGCTTTTACTTGGCCTAAGTGTGCAGAAGCTAAATATAAAAACCACTAATGCACAGATATAGTCCAGCCATTTGTGCACTCCTCCCATGGAGCTTTCTACAAAATAGCTTTCTGCAAGTGTGCTGGTGTGTTTGAACTGTATGGGGAAAAAAAAAAGTCATGTAATGAAGACAACAGTCAGGGCTAGGACATTCCTTCATAATTCTCACCCCTGAATTTGTTGACTGTGCAAGACACCACCCCCCCCCCCCCCCCTTCCTTCTGCTGTTCTAAGCGAATGTTGAAAAAAATAAAATGTTTACTTGTCTCCTAAATACAGCTAAGGAAAAAATCACTCGAATGTAATTTCCTGCAAAATTTCATTTATCTCACATGTCCTCTGCCTTTTCCTGGTTCAACATTTTGTCTAGCTTTCATTAACTGATACAACGAGTCCTTGCAGCCTGCAGTTACCCATTAACTCCTTGGTACCCCATCACAGAGAAAGACTGCATATGTCTGATCTTCATCCTAATTTAATAAAGAAAGAAATTTAGTCACTGTTGAGTCCTGAACTTTACTCATTGCAGTATTTGCTAGACAAACTTCCATGCAGTAGGCTTAAAACAAAACAGACAAGCTTTGTTGTTATTACCTACATGTTTAATCACTGTCTGTCGACTTACAAAAATATTCATGTTATACAATTTTTATTAATCAACAATTAGAATAAGGAACACATAAGGACTCCTGATTTTCTTTGAAAAGATCTGATTTCTGCACATATAGACAAACAAATCACCAGCTTGTTTGGACGTATTAGTATTGCTACCCTTAAAACTAAAGTTTTTTGTTTGGTTTCCTTTTAATAAAATACTTAATTCTTCCATTACTCAGTAGAGGAACTCCTGCTCATAGTAATCAGGACACATTTCAAAGGTTTGAGTACACAGCCAACTTTAAATCATAACTACTCTGAAAATTCTCAAGACAGTAAACTAGTATAGTATACATGTCCAAGCATCTTCCAGCCAGAATTACAACATGCTGGAATTCAGGGATATTTAAAAAAATATTCATCAATACTTCTAGAATATCTGACGTGACAAAATAAAAGTCTTTACAAAGGCTGACAACTTTCTCCCCTCACTGATGGAGCAAGCAAAACTGCTAACTGCGTGTTTCCTCATTACCTTCCAACATCTACTGAATTGTTAAGACATGATTAATTAAATCTTTTTTTCCATGCAGCTCCAATGAAGGCACAAGTATTTCCAGCTATATGAAGAATTTATGTGCATTAGAACACAGAGGAAGTTATTTGTAAGGCTCCAGCTTTACTAAAAAAAAAAGAAGACAACTTTATTTTTTTCTGGAACTCTTGCATTGATGTAAAACAATTAATTCACTAGGCCAAAGCATGACAATGTTTTCCAGTTATAGCAGCCTTACACTCCAACTTCTGCAAAGTAAAAAACAACAACAACAAAAGAAATCAGCTGCTCACATCACTTTTCCATACACATTTGTTTGCTCTATCCTTCAGCCCTGAGCCTTGCAGAGAGACAAGGGAAGAGGCAAAGGGGAAGTGTGCTCCCAAGAGCATTTTGTGACATTGACCAGGAGGGTCCCAGAAAAAACCAATCTGCACTCCCTAGCCACAAAGCAGACACCTCAGACTTCAACCAGCATAAACAAAGTATTATCCAGATCCATGGTCATGGCCAAAAACTTTTGTCAAAGCCAACACTGTTTCACTTATTTGGGCTTCTAATAAATTCCAAGTACTGTTTATATGCATCATGCACAATGCCTAAAATAGGGGCATTTCCTGAAAGGATTGTAGCAAATGCAGCACACACAATGTGCTGCACTTTAATTTCATAGCACAAAAAGGCAGGCATAACCTGTCTCAATGACTTTCATCCAGCTCTTAAAAATGTTAATTTAAAAAACAGATTTGACTTAGAAAGGTAGAGTAGATGTTCACATTTTAAGTGGGCCTGAAATAATTTGAGGAGCTGTCCCAGCAAAGCTGGGCAGTCCCTGCCAGCCTGAAGTTGAAGCAGAAACTTCAATCTGCATATCAGTGTGAATTAGCTCTCTCCAGATTTACTTGTTCTAGTATACCACCAACACATTAGGAGATGCAACAGTATTGCTTTCATCACATCCCACAATATTTGCAGTGTGTTTTGTTTTATGGAATATTCAAGGAAAAAAAATTAAGAGGCAAGCATGCAAGCGCATTGGATTAATCAGTCCCCTTTAGAAATGCCCCCATTTTCAACATCAAAGTCAAAGTTTTGTTGGTCAGGACACCTTCTTAGAGCAACATGCAGAACACAGTCCAGTGGCTGCTTGTTACAATGCAACACCCAAAGAAATCTTTTAGTGTGGTCCTTTCTCTGATGTGCTTGGCTACCTCTCCAGACAGAATTTTCAAGTTTTCTCTTGACTTTTCTAGTTCAGAGGTTGAAGTGAGGTAACTAAATCAATATTTTAATTTCATTAGAAAGAAGACTTTAGACCAAAACATCAAGCAGAATGCCACAGATTAACAATGGATTAAATGAAAAAAACCAAAAACCCATTAAAATACTTTTGAGTTAATTTTCCTTTCTACCTTTATGTAAAATTAGCCTCTAGGCTTCATTTCAGAGAATTTTGAAATGAAAAATTCTCTGAAAAAACTTAATGTATTAATTCAGTCTTTATAAGCCCAGGTGGTGGGAAATAAATATTTGAAATCAACAAACTGTTAGGACAAGTACAGTATCCAGTTATTAAAAGACTGGAAGCCAGATCTGCAAATAGCTGCAATCAACAACCCAACAATGCTGTTCTTCAAGAGTAGCTGTATGCTTGTAACTTCATAGTCTCCTTATATGTAATAATACTGTTGAGTCCAAGCCCATCCTAATTTTACAGATAAAAACATTAACGTGGGATTTACACTTCTGTCAGTGTCTTCCCAGTCAACATTTTCACATGTCTTTATGCACCACAGAATTTAGTGTGTAGTTTCTTAGGTGGGTATTAGGAAGTCTACAGAGATGCTTCTCCTTACACATCCTAATCTTTTGTCTACCTTGTCCTTACACATCCTAATCTTTTGTCTACCTCTAGGATGAGCAAAGCTGGACACGTTCTCACAAACACTGCAGAGTTGACTTCAAGTAATCAAAAGCGAAGAAATCTTCACAGCAATGCAAGGGTGATGCTGACCAAGTCCTGTCAAGAAGACAAGGATACATACCTTGCTGAACAATGGCACTTTATTCCCTATGCAGAATGGAAAGTTTACTTGATCTTCCTCCAACATGTCACTGGAAATAAAAGTTCCCTTCAAACTGTTTCAAGAACAGATGCCATTTCCTTGAACTGTCTGACAAAGTTCTAAAAAGCAAGAATTGGGACAAATTTCAGTTGCTTGAAGAAAAGCTCAAACTGCAGTTCAAACTAGTGTGTTTGACAAAAAATACTGTCCATATTTCTCACTTTCAATGTACAGCTTGAACTGAAAATATCTGCTTTCCTTTCTGTGTGCTGGCTGGCATTTGAGCACATTAACTATGAAACCTACAAAGGTGATGCCTTATTAGCATGGCGTTAATAGAAAAGGTGCTACAAAAGAAAAAATAAAAAGTAGCTCTCATGCCATAAAAATAAAAAAAACCCTTTCTCACATGAATGTTTCTACTCCCATCTGAAATAAACCAGAGTTCTCAAATGTAGCATTCATTTCCTGAAGTAGCCGAAGAAAAAATTATCAAACAGGCTTCAACCAGAATAAATACAACATTTCACAACACCCAAGAATTCAGAATATCCTTCCCAAATTTCTGATAATCAAATTCCAAGGATCTATTTAAGTTGGTATGATATTCCAGGTGATGTGTTGACCCTTTAAACAGGAATGACAATACAAGGGCCATGTTTATGCAAAACTAAAGTTACATAAATTCATAGATGGAGACACAGCAACTAAGAGTCAGTCATGATAAAGCAGACTGATCTCCATTCCTAATCATTAGCAATTGTTAGGCTTAAGCTAAGTTTTAGATTTTGAGGCTGGGGAACAGTTCCGTAGATAAAAACATTCTATTAACTTTTAGTATGTCAGATGAGAGCTGGCAAGCTCTAAAAGATTTATGTCTTTGTTTGTTAGTTTATTTGTAGGAGAAATGACCAATTACTGCTCAATTGACATTTTCAGTTAAGTGAGGTAGAACTAAACACTATGAAGTAAGTATTCTGTGTTTTAAACAGTTATTTGATGCTTCCTGTTTGCATGACTGTACAAGTAAACAAGCAGCACAAACAGATGCACCAGGGTATACAGCTGACCCTCCCAACAATGGCACTGCTGTTCTCAGGACACTGAACATGCAAGTAACACTCAGGACAGACCTTGAACTGTGGGATCGTCATTTCAAAAGATTTGTCTCTTATTTGTCCTGAAGGGTCTGCCACTGTTAGTGTCACTGTGACGTAGGGGTACTTCAGAGACCTGCAGGTGTCAGAGCTCATCGCAACTCCCAGCTTCCATTTCATATCTACAAACTACAAAGATGAAAATCGTTGGAAACAGCGTCACAGACAGAGATTTACCCCCCCATTTCTATTCACTTGGAGGGATAGTTCACAGACAATACAGATATCTAGAGATCTTATCCAAATGGAAAACAAACATAAATATTCAGGTATTATTGTGACTACAAATCATCTGCCCTTCCCTTTAATGGTGAATAAATAAGAAATTTAATAAGTTATTTCACTTTATCTGTTCTCCTTGTTCAAGTACAATCAACAGGCAAGTATACTCTTCTAAAATTCTAGTAAGAGGAGCTTAAGCCACAGAGTTCACCCAGCTTGTATACAAGGCAATCAGATTTTTGTCATGTTTTCTTTTTTTTCGAAGTTTCTAAATCAGAAGCTCCTAAGTCTAAACCAAATAATTCAGAATAGCAATAACAGAAAAAATTATGGCATTTCATAACTACATTTTAGATAAATTGAAGTACATAACAGATACATTTCAGACAAGTAAGTTATAATTTTTAGCCTTTTGTGAAGAAGAGCCTTTAGAAGTTTATATCAAGCCTCAGAAAAAGATTCTTAGAATGTAAACAGACTGCTACTTTTTCAAGCAAAAAGGGAATGCTGGAAACTGACAGAAAGTATCTTTAAAAATAATGTTTAAGGGAGACAAAGAATGAGCAGTCAAGTGGTGGTGTTAACAACTTTAAAGAACAATTTACACTTGAAACATATTTACATAATGAGCTAATAGAACAGTCTGCCAGACTGACTGCCATTCATCTTCCCTAAGAGTACTACAAAACATGAATTTTTAAAAAGGCAGAAAATGCGACTTTATCATCCAAACAATAATATCAGAAAACTGTTCAGCGTGCAGACAACCTTTATTGCATATGCTGCTTTAACTGAGTAGGTATTTGGCAACACGTAACTGTGCACGCAGGTAGGAACGCTTTCAGCAGCCCATCTACCTCTGCCTGCCTGACAACACAACACACACAGTGAGACACTGACATGTCTGAAACGTTCACCATCAGCTCTGCTGCTCTTTGTCCTTCAGTTACCTGCCCCACTGTGGCCGTAGTTGTTGCATCTTCTGACGCAGCGATGGCTTTGCCCTGCTCGTTCCACACGTGCCGAATAACCTGAACCGCGTGTTTTGGCAGAGTGCTGACGCCACTGCCCAAGGAGGTGACGAGTTCCTCTGTAGAGAGGTTGTTCCTGGCTGCTGTGCTGTAACAGATACATCCAGAGACCTCTGCATCAATTTCATTCTCCACCAATTTAATACAACTCCTCATTTCACCCCAACAAGACAGCTTTCATTTTTACCTTACGTGTACTTTAAACCAATTCAGCAGCCTGTGATTACTTTTTTTTTCCCAGAACCTTACTGATCTTCTGTATCCAAGTGCAAAAAACATGACCTTAATATGCCTTAATATACAAAGGCCTAGCTTTGCTGGGCTTGCACAACATCCAACATCAAACCAAAAATAATCGCCACCTCCAAGTGCTGTAGCAACTGGAAGAAGGCTGAAGTCAGTGAGGGCTGTGTGTGTAGAGAGTTAAACAGTATCATTACTTTAGAAACAACTCAAGTAATTAAACACTCAGCAGGTGGAATTGAAGTACCATCAAAAGTAAGGACTTCTAGGTCACAGTGTAATGGGCACTAATGGGAGTCAAATGATATATAAACCCTTCAACTGAAAAGGCAGCAAGTCTAAAGGAACACGGCCTCTTGATTTCCTCTACAGAAACAAGTACACAAAAAATCCTGCTCTGTGTTTGCTCATGCAGGTTCACTCCTCTTAAAGAGGCATCAATACAAGAGAAAGTGAGTTGGTCCTCCAAGTAGCATAGTTGAATATAACTTCAGATGTTCTATTTTATAGATGGAAAAGTAGTATTTTCTACTGATATATTTTCCTGAATTGTATTAATGTTACATAAAACGTTTAGATACTAGATATTAAAAGAACAAGCAAGATCTTGAAAATTTCATCTTTTTAAAAATAGAAAAAATTATCAACTAAAAATACTTCCTAAAAACTTAACTCATGGCAGAATGCAATATTATAAGCTCTGTATGCTTCAAAAAGGCACCAATGCTGATTTCTGATCTCCAAGAAACAAGAAGTTTTTAAAATACACTTTTTCCAGGCAAAGTCCAGCTGACTTAGCTCTAAGTGAGCTTAACTTCCTCTATCTTGCCACTAGGTCTAGAGCTTGCAGATGGCATCTCAGAACCATTTCCTCTTTTTAATTTTAAAAAGTGATACTATATATTAAGTAACTACACTTTTTAATAATCAAACTAAGCCCAGGTGCTCTTTTCTGCGTACTGAGACTTACAAACTTTTGCCTTTTTCCCAAATCAGTTCATTTTATACTGACATTTGATATAATTTTCTCTACCACCATTAAGTTGTGATGGAAGGGAAAGACATGGTGAAAAGTAAATTATTTTGTGCTTACCTAAATAGAAAAGAAAGAGTGTTAGCTACTTTTGCCAGGTCACCAATATTAATGTCAACCCCCGATGTTTGAATTCTCTAAAAACAGAATGTTCAAATAATTACAAACAATAAATAATGCATTTGTAAAAGCATCTTTGTATATACAAACACACAAGAAAGCCCACATCAATTTGGGAATTCACAAGGGCTGGCGTGCCAACTTACCTGACACAATTCAGCTGTATTTATACCTGGGATCTTATGGTTCAGATGCTGAATTATTTGTTCACACTGTGAAAAAAACATATTTGAAGACATTGTTGATACAAAAAATAGACAAAAAGAGTGTATAGTGCAGAGTAAAGACTGAAGTAATTGAAATTACTGATTTTAAAATTCCATCAAAGCCAAGGAAAGAAAACAAACCAAACCAAGACTTTAGTTTCTACCTCACTATTGCTAGTTAACACACCAGTTTCATATTAACTGTTCAAGTGCACACTACAATAGACAAGCCAAATGTTTTTTTAGACCAGCTACCTTGATATATCGCTTAAATGACAGACAAAAATAGATGCTTAGAAGTCTTCTGTGATAAACATAAATTTAAATCAAACCCATTGCTCTTAGCAGGACTGATCTGTTTTATGAGTCAAGTCAAGGTTCCCTTTGCATCACACAAAACCTAAAAGAGCTTAAATAAAAAGGCTTCCTGGAGTGTTAGAAGCCCTTCCCCATCCCATTTATCGCCCTACTTACCAGCTCTGCAAAAAAGTCTTGAGGTATTAAACGAATCTTATCTGCTGCACCACCACCATCTGAAAAACAGCAGCGATCAGAAGCAAATACATAAATAAAATGCTACAGTAAGAAATCCAATCTTTCCCTGAAGAATGCCTAGGCCATCACGCACGCGTTACCGTCACCGAACACAGTCAATTTTAACCTACACGCCCCCAGAGAAAGCCGCGGCTGCCGTCGCCCCCCACTCCCCTCCCCGGCTCCCGCCGCCCTCACCCAGCGCCACCAGCGCCCTCGCGAGCGCGCCCGCGGAGCCGCCGGCCATGACGCCGCGCGCCCGCCGAGCCCCGGCTTCCGCACACGGCGCTCGCCGCGCTGATTGGCTCCCAGCGCCCCCAGAGCGAGGCGGCGGCAGCGGCGGCGCGCTGATTGGCTGCGGCGCGGGGAGCACGCGCTCCTCCCGCCGCGTTGCTGCTGCTCCCGCCCTCACGGAGCGGCCGGGGGAGGGTGGGGAACGGCAGCACCGCCCCCGAGCCAGGCACGCTCGGCTGGCGCCATACGGTGTGTGCTGAGAGTGGTTTGCTGATATGGATTTCTTGGTGCTCCTTGTCAAAGGCGCAGGCACGCAAATCACAGAATCATAGAATGTTAAGGGGTTGGAAGCGGCCCTAGAGATCATTCAGCCCCAATCCCCTGCCATCGGTAGGGACACCTCCCACTAGACCAGGTTATCCCATCCAACCCGATGTCGAGCATCTCACGGATGGGACATCCACAACCTCTCTGGGCAAATATTCCAGTGCCTCACCTCCTTCGCAGTAAAGAATTTCTTCCTAATACCTAACCTAAATTTCCCCACTTTCAGTTTGTACCCATCCATTCCCCCTCACCCCATCACTACATTTCCTGACGAAGAGTCCCTCTCCGGTCTCCATGTACGTCCCCTTCAGACACTGGAAGGTTGCCATGAGATTTCCACGCCACCTTTTGCTCTCCGGGCCGAACAGCTCCAGCTTCGTCAGCCTGTGCTGGCAGGGGAGCTGGTGCCTGTTCCATACAGGGTGTGAGTTCCACATGGGGTCACTTGGTACCGAATGACCATGCTTTCTACAGGTGGACTCTGCAATCAGCCCATACGCCCTCAAATAAACTGTGTGGTTTGGGGGTGACTTGTGTAGGTAAACTATGTATAGGTAAACTTGTGTAGGTAAACTTCAGCTTTATGGGGAAATAACCACCTTTTGTAAAACTACAAACAGTACTATGTTAAATAAGCAATACATACTGATGTTAATGAAGTTTGGACTGTGGCTGGAGTACTAAGGCAACACTAACCCTTCAGCAGTTTCCCTTATAAAAATAATACTTTTACACTTCTCTAGTATCAGTTTTATATTTGCTTTTAGCCTTTTTAATATATATAGAAAGAATAATGTTATAATCTTAGTAGATCTATTCTGAGGCTGTGACAGTAGTAAAACAACTCGTCCCACAGTAGTGCTGACTAAGCTCTATGTATTTTCAGTAAGTGTTAATGAAAGAATTGATGCCTATATAACTTAGATCAAAGTTACAAAGTGCTTATATAGCTTGAGTTATGAGATATCAATATAACATAAATCATGATGTTTTGTATATCCATATAACCTGATATATCTATATGACCTGATATATCTATATAACCTAAATAATGACTTTTTATATGCCCATATAATCTGAATTATAGCTTTTTTAAAATAATGTAATGATAGTATATGGTTAACTAGTTGCTTGATGCTGAATAGACAAAAAAGAAGAAAAAACTCACCACGTAGGTAGCTTTAGAGATTGATAAGTATAGCATTAATGAAAAATTGGCTAGTAGAAAGCCAATTGGCCACAAAAAAAAAAAAATTAGGCCAGTTCAGACTAGACAGACCAAGGAACATCATAACTGTGCATGCTCCAAAGACAAAGCTGAAAAGTTCAGATGTGAAGAAGACCTTGGAAGCCTTCATCAAAGACCCCTGATGACCCTCAAACTGGGGAGACGCAAGCACAGTGCAAAAGAACGATCTAATAACCATGAGATCATACTGTGTAAATTAATTCTGGCGTGTATTGTGATGTTGTTGTAGTGACATAGTGCCACTAAGCAACACTTACTGCATAAATACACCCCAGCACTTGACAAAGGTGGGTGAGTTAGGTGGAGAAATCCCCCTCACCACCAGCACTGCAACAAACAAATACCTGCTCTATTAGACATCGGTCTGTGAGGATTTATTTCCAGCCTATCTTTCAGGCATCAAAATCTGTAATATATTTCAGAAAAAGACTAATCATTAGGGAACATGGTGTGGTTTTATGAGCTTTATACATTTATGACCTGTCTGATCTTGGCCTCTCCCTTCTAAAGTATCTAATTAAGTGTGCAAATGATTTTGAGCAGTCTATGTTTTTACGATCTCATGGTTGTTAAAATACTGGCAATGTATGCATCACTGAGATCTGTCTCTGATGCTGAGGATTTAACAATCTCTTTGTTCTTAACTTACCAAACTCTTAATACAGACTTTGTTATCTAGAGAACTTTACATATTACTTTATATTACAATTTCATTAAGTCTCTCAGTAGTGCCCTTAGCACTATGACTAATACTCATTATGGTACTTTTCTTTCTTACTTTCTATCTCCAACATGTGGAGATGGGAGCTGAAGTTTAATACCTTGGTGGTTAGGTAATTACAAAATAATTTGCCAAAATTTTAAAATATTTTGGTTTATTTTAATTGACAAATAAATATGCATTAAATGTTTTAATTTGGAACAGAAGTTGGTGAAATATGAATGGATTTTGGCTTGTCAGCCTATCTGTGAAAAAGAGGCTGACCCCAACCTGTCTACAATCTCTTTCCAAATAGCTGTAAAGAGTAATAAGGTCCCCTCCCACCCCGAGCCTCCTTTTTTTCCATGTTAAGCAAGCCCAGCCTCATGGGATGTGCTCTCCAGACCCTTCAACAGCTTTGTTGCTGTTCTCAGGATTCGCTCCAGCACCTCAATGTCCCTCCTGAACTGTAGATTCCAGAATGGACACAGTACTGCACATGTGCTCTCTCCAATGCCATAATGTGTTCCATTTAGCCTTTCTGAAATAACTTGAAAGAAGGCATTAACACTAAATCTGGTATGTGTACATATATAAAATGTAATCACACTGTACATATGTATTAGATTGTGCTTCATCTTAGCCAAAAGACCAAGAAATGCCATGTTTAATGGGATGGGAAGTATGATGGGATTTGTAGCTACAGAAGATAAATGTTTTTAATCGTGTTTAACACATCTTGCAGTAATTTTCAGGAAGGTGTATGGGGACCTCACCATCCAAGTCCTGGCTGCTACACTGAGGTCTTCTCAGGCAAGATGAAGCCAGGGGAGCAGGCACTGACCTTTTCTCTCTGGCAATCAGCGCTAGGACCTGAGGGAATGGCCTGAAGTTGTGTCAGAGGAGGTTTAGGTTAGATAACAGAAAAAGGTTCTTCATCCAGGGGGTAGTTGGACAGTGGAAGAGGCTCCCCAGGGAGTGGTCACAGCACCAGCCTGGCAGAATTCCAGAATCGTCTGGAAAATACTCTCAGGCACATGGTGTGACTCGTGGGGACGTCCTGTGCAGGGCCGGGAGCTGGATTCCATGATCCCCGTGGGCCCCTTCTGACTCAGAATATTCTGTGATTCTGAGAGGTAATTTAGTGCCACTGTTGCTCAGCAGTTCCTCTGGCTCCCTTTGTCCCGCCTTGCCCCGTGGCCTGCCCCGTCCCCGGTGAACGTGTATCGCTGAACGCTGCCCATGCCTTCCCGCAGCGGTTCAGCTCAGCTGCCGGAGGCCGCTTCGGAGCGGGCGGGCTGCCGGGGCGCTCGGCGGGCGCTCCCGCGGCCCCGCCGTGCCCGGCTCCGGCTCCGTCCCCTGCCATGCCCGGACCCCGAGCGGCCGCGCCCCCCGGCGGCTGCAGCGCGCCCCGCAGGCCTCGGCGGCGGCGCGGGAGAGGAACCACCCGTTGCCCTGCTGGGAGAGTCCATTGCCGGGGGAGTCAAGAGGGCGGGGAGGGGGGAATCTCCCGGGCCTCGCCGCCCGGAGCACTCCGAGGAGGAACGGCGGCCACTGCCGAGCGCGCCGTCCCGGCCATCAGTGCGAAGCGGCGCGGCGGTGCGGGCGGGCGCCGGGTGGTGTTTCCTCCTTCGCCCGCCCCCCCTGCGAGGCGCGGCGCGGTGACGCGGCCCCGGGTCAGGCTGAGGCGCGGCGGCACCGTGAGGCGCTGTCAGAGCCGTGCTGAAGGGTCCGCCCAGCTCCGCACCGGGATCTGCCGCCGCCGCCGCTGCCATGGAGCCCCATCGCTGGCTGCCTCTGGAGGCCAACCCCGACGTGAGTGCCCGGCCTGGGCAGCGGGGCGCTGCCGTGCGCGGGGGCTGTCCGCCCGACAGCCTGCCTGCTGTGGGGATGGCGGGAGGATGGCGGAGGGGAGAGGGCAGAGGGCTCCGGGCCGCGCCGGACCGCATCGCCTCTTCAGGGGTGGCTGGTGGAGGTAGGGATGGAGGAAGGTCTCATTCCTTGGATCCGACTGAGTCTTAACTACCTTCTGTTTTCTGCTTTCTTTTCAGGTCACGAATCAGGTAGGAAGCTTTTATTTGAGGTAACCTTTAGTCTCTGCGGCTTTGGGCCCGTCTCCTGTCGTTTTCGTGTAGTACAGGCTCTGTCTTGTCCAAGGAGAGTGCCCCCTTCCTTCCTTGCGCGTGTCTGCGCTTGTCTTCGCATGTCCGACCGTGCTGGAACCTCTCCCGTAAAGATACTGTATGAAAGAAAAACGAACAGTAAAAAGAGAATAGCTGTGGCCTGGCTATTACTGTAATGAAATTTCTGATGTTTTTCACGGTGAGTTTTAATTCATTAATTAGTTGTTAAAACGTTAATTTGTATATAACATGTGCCAAGTGTGGACCTGTATGTGATGGCTTTGGGCACATTAATTTATACATAACATGTGCCCGATGTGGACCTGTACACGGTGGCTTTGGGCACATGTATGGATCTGCTTGCATCACGGTGTTGTAGTCTCATACTTTTTTGGCTGACCATAAAAAAGAATGTAATTTTACCATATTTGCGCTTTCCTGCTTATTAATGACAATATGTACATGACTGGTTGTTGCTGTTTTTGTTAGCGTGGTAGAACCCACGCTGGAGAAAGGAAGCTTGTTCTAGTACACAAAACAATGCTCCCACTAAATAAGTTCTGGCTTAAAGGAAATCACACATACTCTAACCCTGCCTGTGTTCTCAGTGACAATTTTAAGCATAGTGTTAATGGTCAGTTGTTGATTTCAGAGTCCTCTTGATAATTTTAAAGATGGTGTTTAAGCCAAAGGGCTCTGAAACTTCCATCAGCAAAATTGTATTCTTAAAACTATATTGTTGAATTATTTTGGAAACTGGGAATTTCTGCGTGTGAAGAACGTTTTGTTTGGGTTTTTTGTTGTGGTTGCTGTAATGTACAAACTACATCTGCAGGAGAGTGAAGGGTTATTTGATACTGGGTCATTTTGTGTGTTACAGTTTCCTAGGACAACTAATTTTACAATTCTTACAGTACTGCTGCTGTGGAGCGATTTGAGAAGTCTGTAATCCCAGTCTCCTGAGTTAAAATTGATGACCTTTCCTGGGAGCCCATCTTGAACACATGCTGTAGTTTCCTCTTTTTCATTTTGAAATTCAGAGACTAAATTCCAGAAAATAAGTGACTAAATAAATAACTGAATAAATAACTTCCAATTATCTAACTTTTTCTTCTGACTTTCCAGATGGTGAGATGAGCTCATCATGGTACAAATTAAGACCACCGTTAAAGTAGAAATTGAGGAGGAGAAAATAGTGACATTCTTTCATCTGAAATATCTTGGATCCCTATGTTTTTATGGTGTATGGAGAAAATCCTAAAAGGATGTCAAATGTACAATTTTAAGTGTGTTTAAAATTAATCTCTTTTGCCCATTAGTGATGGATGTAGCTGTTGTAGATGATCATGGATAATAGGAATTTGTACTCCACAAGGATTTTCTTGTTACTATTTCTGTGTAGAAAAGGCCACTTGAAACCAATTGGACTTCCTCCTTCACTACCAGTCTTGACTGAGCAGGATTGTTATTATCTAGAGAGAGAGATGTATATTAAAAAATAATAAATAGGTGGGTGTTGAATATGAATGCACCTTGCATTATTAATCATTGTCCTTTTAATCTCATCAGTACAGTGGTGAACTGTGTAGCAACAGGGCTGATAGTCATAAGTTATTCATATCCTGCTTGTGTTTAAAACAACAATAATAGTAATTTGAAATTCTAATGAAGTTGGTAACTAATTTTTGGAAAATTCTGTCGAGTTAATTGCAAGGATGGGCATTTCTTGTAGTACTCGGTACTGTGCTCTGTAAAATATTCTAGAAGTCTTTAGCATTAAAACCCCCAATGGTCTGCCTCTACAAACTGCAATATTCATGTCTGGGAGTCATTTAACACAAGTATTTGGTCAGACATCTAGCCAAGTGCCAAGTGTTTCTTCTTGGGGTTTGTTATTTGGCTTTTTAGTTGAGTGTTAGACTGTCTCTTATGCATACTACTTTTGTTAGTGTTAAAATTATTGCTAGGTGTGGTAGTGAAGTCTTAAACAAAAAAAAAATTCCAGTGACCTGTAAGATGCGTAGATTCTTTGTGTTAGATTGTAATTAGAACCATCATCAAGTGCTTACTCTGTTTTGATTATTTTGCCAATAATTTTATTCCCCTCATTAACAATAATTAGTAAGGAAATGTACTAAATCCAGGTTCATTTGCTTTTAGTATGTTCTTACAATACTGTGTCTTCTCTGGTTTTAAAATATAGGCTGTAAATTTGAGGCTTTAAGTCTTTGTGGTAGAAATTCTGATGATAATGGGAAAAAAGAGTATTTCTCAGTTAGAGGTATATGAAGTCTTTCAAAAATATGTCAGAAGTTTTTCTTTATCTGAAAGTGTTTATATTATAATACAAGTCCAGGAATTTGTAAATCCTTAGTCTGTATAGAACCTCTCTTTGTACACATGTGTTAAAATTATTGGAAGGTTCAGAAACTGGCTGCTGAGGGTAAACAGGAATATTCTTTCTTAGCTTTTAAGACTTCCAGTGGCAGTGGAAATGTGCCACTTGTCTGTAGTGATGTTTTCAAGAGAGAAGACAGTCATTCAATGCAGCACACACTGCTGGTTGTAGTGAGTGAAGGCAAGAGTTAAATGTACCATACAGTGCTAAGTTATTGTCACAGTACTTCTTTTTCTCCTTCACTTCTACAGTCTGATAGAATCAATTGTTGTCTACCTCTGATACAGAAAGAGTTGATGATTCAGCATTTACAAAGCTCCATTTTGTGCAGAGTGATGGCAGGGAATGAATGGTTTCTTCTCTTTGACCTTCCTTTGGCCGGGGCCTGACGTGACCAGCACTGCCCTCCTTCCTGGCTATCTTATGGGATTTCTTGCTGAGAGAAAGCTAGGAAATTGTTTTTCAATTACTATCTGTGTGATGTTTGTTATCTTGTTCTCAATTTCTTCTGAGAAAAAAGAAAGTAGACTGCATGTAAATTTTTTGGAGTGAAAAGATCAGAACACAAGCTGATTGTTCTTTCTCATAATGTTGCTTCAGTCTGGCTTGCAACCCACAATTGATTGTTTAGGAAGTGTAGATAAACAAAAAGTATGGGTGGATATTTTTCTTGATGTCCTTCCTTTTTTCGTTCTCTCATCTTACACATTCGAAGAAAGATCCCTGCTTCCTGAATAAGATAACATTTCCACTCATGGCTTCGTTGGATCCAGATAAGAGCAGAGTAATTGACTGCATCTGATTATGAAGCTCAAGCACTGGCTTCAGAGTTTGACTACTGAGTGTTGGCTGTGGCTTGAGTTCCTTTTGCCCCATAGGGCCGAGTTGCTGGTTCTTAGTTACCTTTCAGCATTATTTGTAGGCCTTTGATCCTACTTTTTGGGGGGCCTTTGGAGTTTTGAGTTTTTTTAAGCCATTAAGGTATTGAGAGTCAGCTGCATAAAGAAAATTATTTTAGGTCATGAAGCCGTTGACAGCTGTGACTTGAAAGTTACAGGGACAAAAATGCTCACAAAGCATAGAACAAATGGCAGAAACTGGATACAGCCAGTCTTTTTCCATTTATGGAACACCTCTCTTCAGCGTGTCAGGCAAATACAGAGAAGAATTAAGTATCTTGGAAGCAGAACTTAGTCTTTCTGAAAGATCTTCTCATTTCCTGGACTCTGGAACGCTATCCCACAAGCTTTCCCAAAGAAAAGCTGTAGTGATCAAAGTAATTGAAAATGTGATGTGCACAATTCCTGAAGCGCATTGGAAGGTAGCACTCATAGATGAGGTACTGAGGTGCTGTCTTAGTGTGAAAGGATGTTGGATGTGGAGAAACACACATGTCCTTCTAAAATGCCTAGCTAAGATTACTACTTTTTTTTTTCAGGTGAGGGAGTGGTGTTTAACTCTTTTGTGGTAAGCAGAATGAACAATAGTGGAGATAGTGTACATGCTTGGAAAACAGCCTGTTATTACTCATGTAGCCTCAGAAAGTTGAAAACCAGGATTCAGTTTGTGTCTTTCTGTAAACACAATATCCCAGAAAGGCTTTCACAGAACCAGCAAAGAGGGAATGTTGAGCCTGTGGTGCTGCATAGCCAAGAATAAGCACAAGGATAAATATGAAGGAATTGTAGGTGACCACTGTGAGAGCACTTTGTGAATGGCTTCTAGTTTAAAATATCCCCAACTATGTAGCCCTCTTACTGATGTTTATATTTACCTATTTAAATAGATAAATATGTTGCACGGGGAAAATTGTTACTTGTTTGGGGGTTTAGAGTAGTATTTATATGAATGGTTGAAAGGTTGTTTTAGCTCAGTCTTCGTCTGTTCTTCAGTAATTGAAAGCTATGAAAAACATGTATTTCATTCATCTACTTGTATTTGCCTCTTCTGGTCCTTCTTACATTTTTTTTTGCTCAGTTTTTTAGTTTTTGTTATGAGGGAACCCTTACTGTCTTGAAGACAAAGGGGAAAACAGGTGACAGTTATACATTATATACGTTATCTCGCTGCACTGAAATGCTTTTACCCACTTTGACATTTTCTTTGCTTAAAGAACCAGCAGAGTCAGTAGAATCCAATGGTTGTTTCAGTAAACTGTAAAAAATGAAATGTGTTTAACAGCTTATTTAGAAGACTGGATTGATCCAGCTAATTTCTGTTATGAGTAACTTTTTAGATCATGCAAACAGGTCTGTTAAGTGTTTTTCACAGAATAACACAGTATTCTATTTTGAATCAGTGTCTCAGTATCAACACCTCAGGACTCTGCTGGAAGCATTTTGAAGCTCTTGCTCACTGGTTTTGGAGGAGGCCCAGGTCAGCTCGTTTGTCCAGATTTCTGAGTGCTTTTTTTGCATTGCTGCCTGTGGCATGCCCTGGTTGGATATGTACAGCAGTGCCTGGGCATACTGAGTGTTAAGTTTCAAAACTGCTTTATGGATATGTGAAAAATATATACCTTTCATTTTGAAGAACAGCAACACTAACTCTGAGTCAGTGTTGCTCTTCTAGACACCATGATGCAATGAACACAACTGGAAGGATAAGAATTTTGTGGATGTAAGTTTTCTCATGTTTTTGAAAAAAAATACTTGCGATGGGCTGTATTCTTTGAACTTTACTATGGTGTCCCAAAGTACAGAACCTGAGGATATTAAAGTATTTGTAATAAATTTTGATTTTCCCAAAGAAGTCTATTATAATGGGTCATCTCTTGTTTGGACAAGATCACACTTGTTCAAAGAACAAGATCATACTTGTGGCCATTCTAAGTGAGAAGGAGTTGGTAAAGAAGAATAATGCAGCTTATGTAAGTTCCAGGTATCTCTTTGCTCCTGGTGTGCCTTTTGACCTGCTGTACAGAACTAAAGTTTTTACAGCTGCTGCATGTCACTGAAATGATGCTGTCTCTAAAATGTACTGAAAAATTACTCCTTCATTTTAATTCCATAAATGTCATGATCAAAGAATGAAGAAATATATCCTTACAATGCCCCAACAGTAAAGTACTGTTTGGGTGGTTCCCTTATTTCTAGAAAGGAATTTCACTTCTCAAATAGACTTGGTTTTGTTACATGCTGCTAGAAATTACGTGTAAAGAATTAAAAGCAAAATATTGTGCAATTGTATTTTTAATACAGATTAATAAGAATTCGATACTTTAAGAAATGAATAATTTTTCCTTTCTTGATGATTATTCAATCAGTTACATTTTACTCAATGTCTTACTACAATTTAGGGGAAAAATTACCTTCAATTCAATAAAGTGCCAAAAATTCTTGTGCTTTAAAGAAAAAGTTAGAAAATATTGATTGGCTTAATTGGTTTATTTATACGTTGTCCTTCCAGTTTCCTAAAGCCATAGGAACACGTCATTTTTGCAGAGGAAAGTCTTAACTGTGGTTTTATTGTGATAGAGAGACGCTTTAATGCATTCAGCAGAAGTACAATAAAATGTAGATGCTGTGGGTGTTTGGTTTATATTTGTGCTTAGAAGAGGATGGCAATGGTTGGTTCTTTTCACAGAAGCTCTCTTGACTTCTGCATCTGAGAGTCTGGAAATGTTAGTGCATTTTACCAGTCTTATGTTTTCATGGTTCCAACTTTTATATAAATACCACAGTAAGATGTGGAAAAATCCAGGCCTTGAGTATAATGCCTTAGTATTTAAAATGTGACATTGCTGAACTATTTGCAGAAGCTGTCCAATTTCAGTTGACCTTAAATGTCAAGCTCCTATTTTGTTTCAGTTTTTGTCCTCACTTTGTTTTTGCATGCAAGTGACAGAGTTGAAAAGCCCATTGCTGCTTAGACAGTATTTCAATTGTGCATTTACTACATAAGTTTATAATAAATTTCACCCTTACATTGTCTTATCCCACTTACCCTTTCTGCATCTCCCATAAACCTGGTAGATCTAATCTTCCTACTGGCTCTGGAACTGTTGGCAGAAGTAGGATTTTAAATTCACATTAAAGATAACTGCTCTGTGCTTTTAGTTAGTAGGCTGAAGAAGTGGTACCAGCAAGGAAAACAGAATAGCTTATATCACATGCTGCGTAGGCAGAGTGCCTAGAAGTGCCTATTGTAATGTTTTTGCTGTTAACCAACATTTAGACATACAGATTTACAATTTGTGATCATTTAGAATAGAGTGAGGTAGGCTGGAAGGTCTGGTCTGCAGACCAACCATACTCTGTTCAAAACAAGTTGTTCAGCAACCTGTCAAGTTCTGTATTTCTCAAGACACAAACTCCACAGTCTCCTGGACAGTTTGTGCTAGTATTTTACTATGTTTGTTATTTTTTGAATTTACTTTTGAATGCCTTCCTTATGCAGTTACATTTCCCTGTGTTTCAGCCTGTTGTTTCTCTCTGGTTTACTGTGTGCTGCTGAGATCAGTCTGTCTCTATCTTCTCTGCGCTCTCCCTTAGCTAGTTATAAACAGCAGTAGTCAGGTGAGAAAGAAGGGCCTTCTGGAATACTGGGGCAGAAAGGACAAATTCATAGCAAGTGCAGATAAGGGTGAGGGGTGTATAGTTGTATCTTAAGTGGCTTTTTGTCTACTAGCTCTCTGAACCAGTGAAAAACCAGAAAGTGTTTTTCAGTAAGGTCCTTTAAAACAAGAAGAAAAGACACAACAAAAACTATGACAACAATCTGTAAAAATAAAGTTGTGAAAAAGTGAATACTAGATACAGATGTGTGGGAGGGTTTGTGCTGCTGTTGTTCTTCCTGAGATCCTCTAAGACTTCTGCAAGATAGCCAAGAATTTTTCTTTTTTTTTCTTTTATAAGGGGAAAGCTCAAAGACCTATAAATTAAGAATTGTCAGCAGTGTGATAAGCAGTGTCTGAGAAAAAGATTCTGATACTCTCTTGTGCAGATCTAGAGAAATATGAAGCTGCTAATTTATGTTATCTTGCATACATATTATCAAAGAGAAAGTGAACAGCTGAAAATGAGTGAGCCCTCAAAGAACCATAACTGTTCTTTACAGTAGGTATTTGTAGAGTAAAATTGCTTGGATAATCTCTAAATAATTGGAAAGGAAAACAGCAGAGATCTCTCACCTTTTTAGACAGTGACGTTGTCTAAAAAGCGTATTGAACTTCCTGCTGTCCTAAAACAGGAATGACTTTTTCTTCCCATCCAGCCATCTATTGTTCATCTGTTACCCATCTGTCACTCTCTCTTACACAGGGACTTAGCCTGCACAGTTTTTTAAATCTATTTAATAATTTTCAGAAGGATATTTCTATCTTTTTTTCCAGGCCTGAATGAAACCCTCTTGACACACAGAGAGATATCTTCTTTGCCTATTTTGATCTATCCTTAGTATTTTATTTTTGGTTTATGATTCTACAGTAGAGTTAGTCTGGTTATGTGTTAAGATCACTGCTTGTCATACTAAGCCTATGCTCTTGCTGTTCTCTATAGTGCTGACCATCATTTTTCATTGTCACTCTCATTTTTACTGGAAGTTACAATTTCTTGGATTGTAAAGTTTGTAGGTGGTATGGTAGCATGAATAATGAAAGGTGCCCTGTATCAATGGAGTTTTAGTTCTGTTAAATTCTTAATTCAGGAGTTTGAGGAAATCATTCTTGGGTTTGGTTAGCATTTTGTTGACTTTGGGTTTTAAGGGGTTGGTTTTATTTTTGTTAGTTGGTTGCTTGTGATTTTCTCCCCAGTGGTATAGAACAGGGCAAGAGACAAAACCACTTTTTTGGCCAGTAACTTAATGAGACATTGTCTTTTCTGGTTTGTGGGGTCTTTTTCTAGGTGAGTGTTTTCTAGTGAGTCTTTTTTTTTTTTACTTTTGGGCATTTGTACCCTTATTTCATGTAATATTGCAAAATTTCTAATGATATTGGAATGGAAAATGGAATTTTTTTCAGTTGCGTTACTTTTCCTGCAATAAAAATGATAGCTTAGCTGAATCACTGGCTTAATAAGAGAAGTACTGGAAGTACTTATTAATTAATATGTTAATGCACCCATACATGTAGTCTCTTCTCTTTGGAATGTTTTTAGGCTATTCACAAAGTGGTAATTATCTTCCCAATGCAGAAGGTTAGAATAGAAGTTCAAAGTACACTGTCTTCTATTTCATCAGTTACTAAATGCTTAGCGCTTTCCCTTTTCCTCATGTTCATTCAAAGATCTGTGCATGCCACAGTGTACAATTAGTTTTTTCATATAATTGTGAGTGGTCACTATGTGTATAGTAACAACAGTCCCTGAATTCAGTTCGGTTCTTCCAGTCTGACAATGAAAAGATTTCAAATTGTCTTTGACCATCTCTGTGGTCATTGATTCTGCAGCTGTTGTTGTGGTGCCTAGTTTACTTGAGTAGAAGAGTATCCCTTTAAAAAGCGAGCATCCAGTCATCAAAATACTACTCCATCAATATATTACTCCATCATAGTTTGAAGGGATTTTTCTTGTAAAAGCTACACTTACTGAAGCGTGTGTCTTGCATAGTTTTGCTCCTAACATCTTTTTACTTGTAGGAGCTCCAATATGAGCCCTGGTGCCAGGTATTCTGAAGTCATGGAGTCACATAATACCATACGGAGTCAAATAATGCCAAAAGTTTGTTCATGTGTGCTCTGACTGATGGCTCTGGTGATTTCTAGTTAACATAAATATTCAGTAAAAATAGATTCACAAAATCTTCTGTTTTGTGACAGAACACTTTTTAAATGGTTGAAATGCTTTGATGCTTCAGTAAATAGTGCTGGGAATGCTTCCACTTCCCTTCTGTAAAGACTATTTAAATACATAAAACATGGGAGTTTGTGTGTGATTTATTCAGCCTTATTTATTAAAACTTGTATCTCCTTTATTCTCCTTAAATTTTAGAAAGCATGGGTTGTTTTAATGTATTTCACATTGTGGATACTCTGTTATGCTTCTGAAAAGATAGCTGTTTGAGTGTTCTTGTTTAATATTATGCTTTTTTTTTCTCTTCCAGTTCTTGAAACAGTTGGGTATACATCCTGACTGGCAGTTTGTAGATGTTTATGGTATGGAACCAGAACTGCTTAGCATGGTGCCAAGACCTGTGTGTGCAGTACTACTTCTCTTTCCAATAACAGAAAAGGTAAATGTTTATTTAATAATCAGTTAATTGCTTTTGTCATAAGTGAGATGGGAATGAAAGTTTGAATCTTGTACTTTGCTGTCATATTAGAATCAAAGTGAGACTCAAGCTTTATTCAAGAGACTTCTTCATTAAAAATAGCACAAAAAATGCTTCTTTTGATAACCTTGCGTGTATATTTCTGATGTCAAATCAGAAGGGGAAAAGCTAATGTAGAAGCACAAAGAAACATGCCTCACATTTTTCTATTACAGGCAATTTAAAGTATTTTTTGTAATGAGCACTGTGAAATGGCTCAGTTTGCTAATTTTAGCAGAAAGCTCCAACAACATAAGGAAAATAAGAAATAAGGTGTAGGACAATATGCTGCTCCTTTTTGAGTTTTTGTCCTGTTACACTGACAATCCTTCAGTCTTCAATCCACTTTCAGTTTGGTCATCATTATTGATGTGGCTTTCACTTCTTGGACAGATGGGACGTACTATTAAGATGAAAGACAATTTCCCCTCCATCTTTCACTGTGTTGGACTTTGAGTAAATCTTCAATTGCTTATTTTGTGTCATCACATGCCTTTACTAATGTGATTCAATTGATCTTTCAGTTGATAACAGTACTACATGATGGTGATAAGGTCAGCCAAAAAGGTTGAAGTGAATCTGTCCACAATTAATTCTTTTAATATGTCTCTCCAAAAGAATATGTAGCTTATAAGGACAAATCACTTAGCTATTGAAGCTTAACTTCTAAACACAAGGTATTTAAGTAGACAGGAGTGACAGGTCAGTCTTCCTACACATTTATGTCCTGTAAACCTCTGCATTCTCAGTTTCTCCAGAGCAGCTATGCAGGCAGTACTTCTCAAGCTTGATTTCAGCCACCTTGATAGTTTTGAGCTTAAACAGACTTTCAACTCACCTGTCCTCAGGAAATGTCCTTTTTGTCACCTTTGAGGCATTGTTTTCTGTGTGCTGTCATTTCTGTCTGGCTGTTTGAGGTACAGATCTGACTGTCACTTTTCTTTTGACTCCCTGCTTGTGCAAACCTTTTTTTGGATCATGCTATGGGAGCGTTATCCTGTAGGAAAGAACCTTGCTCTTGTTCCAGAAGGTGTATCTGATTTCATCCTGAAGAAACATATGACAAAAAAAACCAGAGAAACAACATTTGCTCTGTTTGCATCAATCAGTCAAATCTGAGCGCAGCCAAGTGTTCAGCATGTTAATCTTTCTGAAACATCAGGGACACAAATGTTTCTATCGCTGTTTAGCCTGGCTGTGTGAACAGTGAATGTTTCATGGAGGTCTCAGTGTTACGAAGTTTTTGTTGGTCACTGTGAACTCCACAAGACCCTTGAGCATTACTTTGTATTTCTACAGTAATTTTTCTCTCCTCAGTCTCCCTTTCAAAATGGCCTGTAAAATTATACTTTTATTTAATTTATGACTTATTGTTTCTTGGCTGTGTCTAGAAAGTGCCTATTAGTTTTGCTGCCTATTTATGAAAGTGCCTATTAGTTTTGCTGCCTTTGTTAACACTTTTTTCACTCACTGTCTGTTCTTCTGTCTGGAAGTTCAGTGGTTCTGTGGTTCCTGTATATCAGTTTCCTAGAACTTGCTTTTAGGGCAAGCTACTCTTGTCAGCATTCAGATAATTTTAGGATTGTTGTACACTTTAAAGGTCAATGCTTTCTTAGTCTGCATAGTATGTTGTAGGCAAAGTGAATATTGTGGGTGTTGGCATTGTGGGCCTAATGAATGAATAGATCCAAATGAATCTAAATTTTGGGATATAGCTTAGGTTAGGAATAATCTGTTGAGATCTGGTCTATCCCTTGCTCAAAATTGTATTTTTGGTATTTTCAGCACTTAAATGTTTATTTTTTCTGTGGATTTTATTTTATTTGGGAAGGAATGAATGGCAGCTGTATTGTTCACTTCTCTAGTCTGAACTTTTGTCTGATTGAACTCTGTGAAATTTTTATCTCAATTAAGGCTATTTTTTGTTAGCTTGTAGATAAACCAAATTAAAATGGTTTATAATGTTCTTGCCATTAGTTTCCCTACTCAGAACATTGAGGCAACCTACAAAAGTGAAATATGGTGCTGGAAGTTTTTAGTTTTGTTTGTCATGACAGTACAGACAAGGGAAATTTCTCAGGAGTTTGCAGGAAGAGTTCCTTGGTAACATTCTGCAGTCTTACTTTACTTTCATCATACTTGTATAAAAAGCCCATTTACTTCACAATTCTTTTATTTTTTTTTTTTGTCTGCAAAAGTACCTAATAAAAGAGGCAAAGGAGGAGTCATTAACTGGAACATTTGTGGATTTATTTATTTCTTTTTCTGTCTGAAATGAAAATTTAACACAAGAAAATAAACAAAAACCTCAAACAAATCCATTTTAAAAAAACCCATAACAACAACCCCTCTCCCCCAAAAGAGCCAATAAATCACAGCCAGCGACAACAAAAAAAAAGCACAAAACTGACACACTATTGCACAGTATAACAGGTTTTAGTCACATATGATCGTTATAAAACAAGTATTTTAGATTGTTCAGTCAAAGCAAATTCTCTTTTTGTTGCAGAATATAAAAGTTTACTTTATGAGTACTGCTTCAGAAGGGCCTGTTTTGATGCCTTGGGTGTTATATAGATCTTATTTTATATTCCTGGGAAAAATGAAATGTGACAGTGGAACATTTAAAGAATGCTTTATGATGATTAATCACCTGAAGTATTATGGCTTTCTTGATAGCACTTTGACACTTCTGTCCTTAAAAAGCCATTAAAGCCATTAAAGTTGCATTGAAGAGAGATGGTGGCATGAGCTCAGATCAAGGAAATACTTTGAAAATTTTTAAAGTTGTTTTAGTTAACACATATTCAAAATGATGTTTCAAGTGTGAAGGCATTGGGTTAAGAAACAGCATAGAGCAGTTCAGCTAAGTTTAATATACTTGTTGGACCACATGTGTTAAACATTTCAAATGGCAGTATTAATTAGCTGTTGTGTTTTATAAATTGTTTTGTCTTGAATGATGTAGCTATTTGTACTATTTGTTGAATAACTGTAACTATTTGTGTCTAACTTTCCTTCTAGTATGAAACCTTCAGAACAGAGGAAGAAGAGAGGATAAAAGCTAAGGGACAAGATGTCAAATCATCAGTGTATTTCATGAAGCAGACCATTGACAATGCTTGTGGGACAATTGGGCTCATTCATGCTATTGCAAACAACAGAGATAAAATGAACTTTGGTAAGAGTTTTTTGGTTTGGTTTTTGCTAGCTTCTCCCTTTTTTTCCTCAACTGTGGGAAGCCATGGAGGGAAGGGTATGTTTTGTACTATTTTCTCTGAATATAACCATTCATAAAGGCTGAAGGAGTGCATTTTGACCTATAATTACAAAATTATTATTTTATACTAATTTATGAACTAAAGCACTTGAAACATTGCAAAGTGCAGTCAGCCTTCTGTGTCTTAAAAATACAGTGCAATTCTATCTTATCTTCACATCTTTTGTTGGATTCTGTAAGCTGTGAATGAAGTTGGAATTAAAACATGACACTAATTATGTCTTTTTAAATTTTTTTAAGAAACTAATTCTTCACTGAAAAAGTTCCTAGAAGATTCATTATCTATGACTCCTGAAGAGAGGGCCAAATACCTAGAAACTTATGAAGTTAGTATCATGTGTTTTTACTTTTATTTAAAATGGTGTAAGAATTACTTGCATGAGCAGGTACTGTCCTTGGGGGTTGACTCAGTGAAGCAGCTAAACAAATTTGATTTTACAGTGAACTTGTGATAGACAGTTGCTACAAAGGAAACTCTGCTTTGGTATTTTAGAGTATTCCTGCCTGCCCATAGCTCAGTCAGCAGAACGGATTTTGTCAATGTTCTCATCCACGTTAATTCCCTGGCTTAGTTTAAAATTACTTTGAAATGCATGAGAAATGTGTGCATAATCTTTTCTTTTTATGGGTTCAGGATATAGTTTAATGGTCAATTTAAGCTGATCTGGGGCTATTGCTGTAAGAATAGTCCTTTTCCTGCCTCTTTTAATTTGTGCCTTCTGGTCATATCTCCATGCTCTTAGCAGTTGAGGCACACAAAGAGCTGATTTGGCTGAAATATGATCTCCTTCCCCTACCATGCTAAACCATGAGATGAGCTAGCTGATAATGTGGTTAGCCACATCATTAGTGCTGTTTGAAAGGATGTGGCAGAGCCATCTGGCCAGTGGTGGATGGAGGACAGTGCTGTTGCTCCTGATGGTAATGAGGGTCCTCTCTCAAAATGAAAACCTTGATGATTTTTAAGTCAGAGCACATTGTGAAGCCCTCAGGAATAGGAGTGTTAACATGTGGCTAAAGGAAGTAGTAACAAACAGAAACAGCAGAGATTTATGACATTTTCTATGGAAATGTTGGACACAAAATGACTGATGGGAGCTTCTATCTAAATTATTTTTTCTGCTCAAAATGATAGCTAAAAAAAGCATTTTCTCTGTGCAAAAGCTCTCAGATATTTGACCTGAATGGACTGTTAGGAAACTGAAGGAGTGGTCTTCTGAGATCCTTGGAAGTGGAGATTATCTGTTTATTAACTTTCTTATTTATTATAAGCACTGAATAAATATAGTTACATCTATGTAATTGATAAAATGAAGTGCAAGAATGGTTCTTGCAACACTGAAAGTCTCTCATTTAATGTCTGATTGAAATATATTTTAATTTTAGGCTATTCGTGTCACTCATGAATCCAGTGCCCATGAAGGTCAGACTGAGGTATCCATTTTTTAAAAAAGTCTTTGTTTGTATCTACTTTGAGTTGAATATAATTGATGTGAAAGCAATCACATGTTAAAGGTTTTCAGTGAAATTGAGATTATTGCTTGGTTTTCAGAATTGTGTCATTAGTCCAAAATTAAGTGGCATTGCTGGGGGGGAACCAAACTTGAAGCCTGTGGGCTTTTTGTTTGTGGGTTTTGGTAGTGGGGGTTGTTTGCATTAGGTTTTTTTAGTTCTTATATAACATGAAAGATATTTCTAAGCTTCATTTCAGAGTAAAACAGACAGAAACTTGAGGTTTTCATGTTACACATTTGTAGGTAAGACTGTAAGATTCATAGTAACCATACAAGTGTATTGAACATTTTATGAGAGTTTGGAAAATTATAATTCAGGAAAAGAATTAGTCCAATAGTTGGTTTGCAGTTGTGTGTGTGCCGTCTGTATACAATACAAATTCAGATAAATTCTCATTCATACGTACATTTATAAGCATTTATGCCCCAACAGATTGTGTGTGATATGGAAAAAAACAGCCTAGTAGCTGACAAAAGAACCCTGAAATAACCATAAACTTGAACATTCAACATTTTTCTGCTTCAGTCATACTAAGTCAGTTTTCCATCTTTCCGGTTCAGATTTCACTATCTGTTTGACAAAAAAAAAAAAAAAAATTATATTGTTGCTAGCATTGCTTTGTTTGACAAAAAGAGAAACACTTCTGTGTTTGGCTATGGCTCCAGTGACTCATCCATTCTCTCTTTTTGAAGTGCAGTAGGTAACATTTTCTTTTTTTTTTTTGTGCAGTGTCTTCTATACAATGTAGGAGAAAGCAAATCAATCCTTTCTGCTCCCCCTTGCCCTGTCTGGAAATGGAAGTGATGAGAATTGGTTTAACTCTTTCTGTTATAGATACTCAACTTCCTTTGTAGTGTTTTATTTAAAAAACCACACCACTCTCTCTTTTTATCTCGTTCTCTAAATTAGCCAAGGTTCTATATTTCAAGAAGAAGGATCAGAACAAATTTGTTGTTTTTTTCCTTTTCTAAGTAAGAGACTCAAAAATATGCTCTGGTTTTTTTGTTTTTTTTTCTCAAATGAGTTCATTTCTAGATATTCTTGGCCAGCTCAGAAAGAGTGATTATGCCAACAAATTGCTGAGGACCAAATCTTTTCCTGAGATCCTTGTGAAAGAGAAACTTGTGTAGTTATTTTGATGTACTGTAAGGTTCATGTAGGGAACGATCTGTCTCTGCCTTCTTCTGGCAGATATTATGGAATGACTGAGAAAGAAAATACAAGGGCTGCTTGTTTTGAGTGTCTTCATGAAGACTCAGGAAGCACCTAAGTGACGAAGGAATCTCCTAATAATGGACAGTTAACTTCTTGAACTTCCACTAATTAATTTGTTTCCTGATCGAGATAACCACAATACAAAAGATTAATAATTGCATGGAAAAATGAAGACTTCTTTTCATAATAAAAAATTGCAAGATTGTTTTAGCAACCATGCCTCAACACAGATATTGAATAGCTAGTTTCCTTGCCAATTATTTATGATTCCATTTTTTATAACTCTATCTGTAAGTAATTCAATATGGGTATTCCTTAGACTAGTGAAACAACTTTTTCCTGTCTTTCTGTTTCCAAAGTTGAAATTGTACAAAGACTGAATATATTTTCCAGGATCATTTTTTCAGAATAGTTCTCATCTATCAATCAAGGAGGGAAGAAACAAACAAGTTTTGTTACTGGAACATCAAATTGCCTGGAAATCCTGTCCTACCAGATGGTAGTTAAACAAGGCAGCAAGGCCTCCCCATTCATTGGTACCTAAGGACTTGCTTTACTTTAGAGTAAAATTCTTTTTAAGTGAAACAACACATGAAACATGAATATGCTGAGAAGTGTAACTGAGAGATAAAGTGAGTTAGTCTCTTCTTCCTTCCATGGGTACATTTTAAATGTCACTGTGTACTCTCCATGTAGGGGTTGAAGGGACTGATAAGCAGCATGATCTTGCAGGTGCTGAAGTTACCATATGCAGGTCATATGAGGTTGTTGCCTTGTCCTTTGGGGTAAGTTGAGGATTTTTAGCACCTTTTGGGAAAGAAAGAAGAGAATCCTATTCCTCCTGCATATTCATTACTTGTCAGGATTACTTTCCTGAGAATTTAAAGTTCCTTTAAGAGCACTGGAAAGGAAAAAGGTTGCCTTCCTGTGACTGGGGTTTTTGACCTCCATGCACCTCCTCCACTGTCCAAATAGGCAAGGCATGTTCCATAGAAATCTTTCTTTGAGTAAAGTGGTTTATTTAGTTGCTTAGTGATAGTAAGTGCTGTATAGTTAATGCTTTGTGAACAAAAGCACTTTCTAGGTCTCTTACAGATGTAAAGATTGAGAAAACATGCAGGCTTACTTTTTCTTAGGATGATTAACTTGGCTTGTGTTCTTCATGAGAAAATCCTGCTGTATGGGTGGTTCTGTCCCTTAAGTATTGGATACTACTGTCCACTCACATTTTTAGAAAGTCTTGCTAAAACTTATCTGTGTTAGACGGGGTAACTTCCAGAAGTGGGATGGATAGCAGTCAACTCCACTGATTTGTTTAGGAAGGAAGGACATTTCCTTCCACCATAAAAAACACACCATCGTATGATCAACATAAATTTTCTGGAATCATGAGCTGCAGAAGGTTTAAAAACAGCTCAGAGTACAGACAGGTTCTCTTCTGATAATTCTATTTGGTAGGTTTGGGGTTTTTTTTCTATGTTTTGATGTTTCAGATATTTGAGGATTCAATCTTTAATACTTCTAAGTAAAGTCTTTATTTGTTGATTGCCCTTGACAGTCTTGCTATGTCTTCACAGACTTTTTTATAATCTCTATGATAACTTAGTTTTTACAATATGCTCATGCATTTTCTGCTTTTTTCTGTTTCATGTGCATAAGTATTTCAAACCTCAAAATAAAGTAAGTTTAGCTAGAGGTAAAAATCAGAAGTAATAGCATAAAGCAGTGCTGTCTTCCTAATATCTCTGTGTTTTGTCATCCTGTCTGGTGGTTAGGATTTGTTTCTGTTTTAGTATAATCTGTAATTAGATTTTTTTTCTCCTAAATTTTGTATGTTTTAAAGAGCTCTTCTCAGGGGGGAAATATCCTCACACTAGGCAAGATATTACTTGTAATGGGCTTCTAGATTCCAGATGATGTCTGCTAGAATTTACAGTGATCAGTTTGCTTGTGGGATGTATCATTACTGTGGGATCTGTTTGGCTGAACATGAGGATGAATTGGTAAGCAAGTGGATTGAAGCTGAAAACTACAGAATGTTCTGCCTTGTTGGGTGCTTTAGCAGGCTTCCCAGGTTTGATAGCTGTGATTCATTTGCTTAGTTAAAAAAAAAACCAACCACTTTTCTTAAAAGTCAAAGAGATTTTTTTTCCTTTAAGGAGATTAAACTTTCAAGAACTGTTAAGCAGTTTTCACTTTGATAATTCATTTCAAGTGTGCTAATTAAAAGGGTTGTAAATTTGCATTTAATCCTTCAGGCCAGGTTTTGGACCAGGTTCTGTTAATACTTCTGGGTTGTGTGGCTCCACGGCTCGCTTTGTTGCTACAATAAATAGCTAATGCAGTCTTATGGGAACTTTTTATGGCTACTTCTGTGTAAATAATGTAGGTCTGTTTAAAATTACTTTGGTAGCAAGTAGTAAGATCTGGGAATGGTTCCACAGAAGAATTGTCTTGTTGGCTTCAAGGGTGGTTTGATTCTGGTTGTCTGTTCAAGTACCATAATGAGGGCAATTAATGTAAGATTCCTGGAACAGTATTTCTGTTGAAGTTTATGATGATGAAGCTTACACCTTCTTAAATGACAGGTATTTCATATCCAAAGCTGCCAAAAAAAAAAAAAAATCTAGGTCTTTACCTTAAAGCTTAATAGATCCAGTGCACTCTTTTCTGTGTGACAGCTCCTGAACTGCAACTATTGTTGAGAGTAGAATAGGTGCCAGATATTCAAGATTCTCTTTATTCTTCCATGAGTCTTCTGCTGAGGATGCACTTCTATTTACAATATCTAGGATGTCTTAAGATGTGGAAAATAGAACCTGTTTCTTTGCACAACTGTACAACTTTTAAGCTGATCCTTATTTTACTTCTTTTGGCTGAGCCATCTTTGAGTTTTCCCTTTTGTTTTGCATTTGGGGTTTTTTACCTTCTTGTTCTTCTGATGCCTCCTTGAGCAGCTCATAAGCTTTGAAACTCTGTACTGCCACATACCTTAACATTTCTGATACCCTTTTACAAAAACAAAACCACACTCTCCTTTGAAAAACCACAACCCTTCAAAAATATTAAAATGACAGATTATGGATCTACATTAGCTGTCTAATCAGCAGTGATCAATTACAACTAAGTTATAGCAATATTTGAGGGAGGAAAAGTACCAATTTATAGCAGTGATCAGGATGAGGTTCATCCTTACTTTCAAAACAATTGTAGTAACTATTTGCAAGTAACAGAGTAGAAAATCTATAGGGAACATTTTTTTGAAAACAGGAAAACGTTATTAAATGAGAGTGACTTCCAGGTCTAGAGTCTTTGCAGAGTAAATAAATTTTGAAATTTGAATTGGGGAAGAAACTTATTTTGTATCCTACCCCTCGTTTCCATTAATATTATAAAGTTACTATATAGCTGCCTGGGAGAGTAGGAGAGGAGGAAATGCAAAGGCACACTTTGTATAGAAATAAGCCAGTAGAAATTGTTTAACTCAATTAAACAATTACATGCTTCAGGGAAGTTTTTCCAGGTATAAAATAGCATCTGATTCTTGAAATAATTTACCTTTTTAATATGTGAATATAATAACATGAGTAGAAGATGCTTTTGTTCTGCTCTCATATTACTGGCATCTGTATCCAGTAATTTTGCAACTGTGCTTCATTACAGCTCAAGACTGCAGTAAGAAAAATGGCAAACTATGCCACAGA